TTTTAGACGTTATTAGTTTAAATGTTATAAATTAATAGTTTAAATGTTGTAAATTAATAGCTTAAATGTTGTAAATTAATAGCTTAAATGTTGTAAACTAATGGTTTAGATGTTGTAAATTAATAGCTTAAATGTTGTAAATTAAAGGTTTAAATGTTATAAATTAATAGCTTAAACGTTGTAAATTAATGGTTTAGATGTTGTAAATTAATAGCTTAAATGTTGTAAATTAAAGGTATAAGTGTTATAAATTAATAGCTTAAATGTTGTAAATTAATAGTTTAGATGTTGTAAAGTAATAGTTTAAACGTTATAAATTGATAATTTAATTCGTAAAAGATTTTCTTCGATCTTCACTGTACGGGAGTACACACACGAAAAAGCTCGCGTGCGTGTCGCATGTTCCTTATATAGCTGATTAACAAAGTCGTCGAAAGGTGACACAAACTGTAACGGTCTACTGTTGTCATAAAAGTTTTTCCCATTATAACGAAATCAAATTTAATAATTTTTTAATTTTTATCGTAAATTCACGCGTCCAACAATTTATTACAATAACCATTTTTATAATTTTAATAGTTTTTACAAGTTGAAACTAAATTTGCACTTCTGTGATACTAGTTTTTGATTTAGAACTATATTAATTTAGATAGAATGGCAGTTTATGACGAAAATAACTGTACTATTATAATCAAACGGTACAACTATTATAAATTAAGAGCATAATTATTTTTAATTAGTGGGAGTATATCGTTATACATTAATAGTATAATTGTTAAAAATTAACGGAGTAATTGTTTTAGATTATTAACAAATTGTTATAAATGAATAGCGTAACTATTATAAATTATTAGTTTGTTTGTGATAAATTAATAGTTTAACCGTGAGAAATTAATAGAACAAATGTTCTAAATTAATAATTTAAATGTTACAAGTTAATAATTAAATTGTTACGAAGTAAGTAAAAGTTCTATTTCGATCTACACGGTAGGCAAATCGAGGAAAAACGAGCTCCCGTACGAGTCGAAGTTCTTTATGCACTTCCTACAAATCGTAAAGAAGAAGATCATGATATTCATTTTGCAAAAGAAATGGTACATTGAATATCGAATCTGCTTAAAAAGTTAAAATCCATAAGTATAACGAACATATAACGAATATCTCATTTTACTAATCGAGCTTACGTAATGCCACACTCGAACGTAACAAGAATATTCAACTCAGTGATACTGATAAATATCGATAGAAAATTCCGAATAGAGCTAAAAGACCGATTAATTAAATGTCGTAATACTCGTAATTTCGGTGAACTCGAATTAATTCGTTCGTGGACAAGTTTCAGCCTTCATTTTCATATTGGCTGACGTGCATGTCCCACGCGACCAACAAACGAAATTACGAACTTCTGGTTAGCAGGGCCCGTAATGAAGCTGCCGGGGTGATTTAAGGCGAATTACACATCGTGTCGTCGGAAAATGGAACGCTTAACCCCGTTCCAGATTGTTACGTCTTGCAGTGCGCGACGCGGTACGTTGCCGTCTGCGATTTAGGCAATTCCCTCGACATCGAACAACTCGAACCACCCACCGAATACCGTTCGGCCAGCTTCCACGTAGAAATTGCTTGTTCGAATCCATCGTTATTTCCAGGACTTATCTCGCCACGAATTACACGCGCTAACAGTTAGATCAGAAATTAGAAATGTTTGATCGATTTTTAAAAGATTCGAAGTCCAGCTTCTTTGAGATTCGTGTGTGTAGTTCGTCCAGGATGTTCTATCGTTGAATACATATATTTTCGATTACGAATAATTTGATTTTTCACGTATATCGTTCTAACTAAAGCAACGAAGATCTCGAGAGCTTTAGGCATAAAATAGATGATGTAAACGCGTATTTGCGATATGGATACAAGGGAAATTGACATTTTATAAAATGGCTTGGTCTCTATACGATTGACTGTCATCCATTGTGCCTGTCCCTGTGCTTTATTGAAAATAAGCCCTGTGAAATGAATCCTTGGCCATAGGCGCGCGTCCAATGCATTACATTGTCGCCTGGCAGAATGAATCATGAGATGTATCGCTTCGGGCGAACGTAGTGCCTTTAAAGCGACGCGACGTCATAAATCAACGTTGATCCGCTGAATCGCTTCATCGATCAAACCAAGTCGTTAGAAATTTCTTTCTTCTTTTTTCTTAGCGGACGCGGCGTATATGTTTTATCGGGAATAAGTCGTTTCACCGGTAACTGTCACGAATATATCGAGAATTTCTGATCCTTCCGTTAAATAAACGAAAAATACGCGTTACCGTTACGATAAAAGCGTGCGTACAATAAAAATTGTGCGTACAATTAAAGTCATCAACAAGTTCGACAGGTGCGCGGATAATTGCTCGAATGCACGATATTGCAATTGGATTGTGGGTGGGCGTGCATTTTCCGCGCAATTAGAGGTAATGGCACCGTTAACTGTATTTCACGCGGTTAACTGTGCGCAGGTGTTAGAAAATATCGTCGATCACCGATAATCTCTCGTTTACGACATCGCAGTATCTCAACTCGGAATACAAACAACAAGATTAAACGCTGGATCGTTAACGGTAGATCTTTGCGTTGCAGAACGTCTTGTTTAACGTTCTACGAGTATTCGATCTGTACACAGATCAACAGGTTGAAGTTTTAATTCTTCTACACTCGGCCCAAGTAAGTAGAATTCGTTCCGCCAACGCGATCTAGCAGAGCTACTGTCAGCGGAAAGTATCGACAATTATCGATACACTCGCCTTTTGAAAAGAAACGGGAATACCTGTTGCTGCGAGTGAATAGCGAAAACAGCAAAAGTCACGAGACTCGGTTCGCGTTTCTTTATCTTCCCACGACCTGTCCTTCTCTCATCGCTGCTTATTGCTTAACGTCGAACGCTGCCCATTTTCTTCAAGCCTCTTTTCTATGGAAACAACGATGAGATATGTCGCTCGCTGTGATGCTCACCGTCAGACATCTGTACACGATGAAGTGCTTCGAACGAAGGTACTGTGATTAAACGTTAAAATCTATTTGTTGTTGCGAATCAACGTCGATAAAAAAAATGTTGTGACGCTTGAGTAAAACGGCTTACACAAAAAGTTCGAATTTAATCTACCCAGATTCACATCTACCGAGAAACATCGAATTTCTTCTTTTTAATCAAATTCGAAGCTGTTTGCAATATTCGATATCATCTGTAGAAATACCGGAACGAACGCGGAATAATCGAAGAATGGTAATTACGATGCAAATAGAAATTGATCATCGATCGACACGACGAGCCGAAAAACGCGCAAACATCCTGTTACATAATTTACAAATGCAAATTTCATCGCTGTTGCTCTGCTATTCGTGACTTTACCTGCTCCTTCTCCATATTTGTTTGTCACGCGTTCTCGTGGCAAGTGCAATTCTGCGTGCGTGAAATCTGTGAGAAAGTGGAAAACGCGATGAAAGCCGACGATGCACAGTCTCGTTTAGTTTCTGTTTTATCTTTCCATCTGGTTGTGCTAACAAGAATGGCGTATGCCGCGTGCTACGCGGTGAAACGAAGCTACGAATGAACGACACTTGTTTACATGCCGGTTCGCTTCCACTTCCGCTTCTCCGCCGGAGACTGTCGACTGCTTTCAGCGAGAAACGCGACACTTTCTCGAGTTTTCCCCGGGGTTCTCGGCTCGTTAGCAGCTCCTCTGATTTTCTACTTTCAAAATATCGATCCCACTTTCACGTTGAATCTTCGTTGTTCCATTTTCCCACCTTCGCTCGGTTGAGACTGGAAGAATAGAAACGGCTAGAGACTGGAAACTTGGAAATATTCAAAAGTTTGAAAGCTTTCGTAAAATTCAGAGGTGTTTCTTTGCAACGTAATTTTCTCTCAAATTATTTTATTTTTCCCTTAGAAGATAAGTAAAGTACATTGGACGGGGGTTGAAGAAAGAAAAGCGGCGGTGAGTAAAAGTTGCTCGTGAAAGACAACGTTGTAACAGAATGAGAAGTTTATTTGTCCCGTTCATTTGTTTTCCGGCGACTCCTCCACGGAGCAAGTTTGTCATGAAAAATTGTCGTAGTCTCGAGCTGCTTGAAAAATTGCTCTCGTATTCCTGTCTATCGCGAGCGTTACATCGCCTTGTGCCCTTCGAAAACCCACGCGTAGAATCCATCGATTTTATGAGACAAAGATTTGCATACCTTTGCCAGCGTGTTATAGAAAGAAAGGAAAGAAGAGAGATGAATATTACTTATTTACGGTGATTACTATCTGGAAACTAAAACAGTATCCGTGAATATGCTTATCGGGAAAACTCGTTCGTCTTCTGTCAGCTCGTTTATGTTTTTGTTGGTCGACCAAGTTTTTTCCACCAGTGATAAGCGGAACATGGCGGGGAAATAAATTCGATTCGATCGCGATAACGTCTGCGCGGAAACGAAGCGCGCGATGGTCCTCTGAAACGGGTAGATTTCTCGGTTTTCGAAGTTTTCGGCTATCGCCGAGTCACCGCGATTCACGATCATTTGTTTGAAAGCGTGAAACTTTAGGCGATCGATTTGAACAAAGACGTTCGTTTCTGAAGCAATTTCTCCCACGATGTCTCCAATTTGAAGCGATTTGTTGCCTCGAGTCGTTTCAATCCGAGGTCATTGGTAACAATTAGAGGACGCTTTATCTCGTTGTATTTCATATCGATTGCTTTCTTTCCAGTAAAGGAAAAATGCGAAAGTTTACTTATCTCGTTTAATTGGTCTCTGGTCTGCAGACTTTTCAGATCCCAGTAATAGATAACGAACGATAGACAACTTTTATGAATCAGCAAATTATCACCAATCTACCAACAAGCATCTTGCAATCGTTTTAATTATTTCCCTTTTGATCTGAATCTGCAGCTTATGAACGACGATCAGAGTATCGGAATTAGAAGGAATTAATTAAAACTTTGAAAATCAGCCTCGCAATCTTTCCTACAAGGACATCGATCGAAAAAGTCCATCGAGGTGAGAAATTATATTTTACGCGTCCGTTTCAAACGAGAGCTCGATATTCAAAGCCAAATCAAAGTACCAAAAATTCATACAAAACAATGATTTTTACAGTCGTGTTTATAATGCTAGTCCGCGTGGAAATTTATATCAACGTACGTTACGTTATATTTACATACGTGTTTGCATACCGTAATTGGCGATCGTCGAGAAATTTTCGACCGAAACTTCCAACCGTCCTGTTCCTCCTGGTCGATCCGTCATTTCGCTTTAATCCAACGAGGGCAAGTGTGACTAATAGGAAATTTCGTGCGAGACACTCGATCGGAATATCCGGCTGCCCTCGTGGCACATGTCTCCCCTGCTCTGCCACGGTATCAATAAAGATTACCACCAGCGAGTTAGACAGCCGGTGAAAGGAACGGATTACTGGCGAACAGCTAGGAATTGGTTATCGATCGATTTCTTTCGGCCGTTTATTTTCGGCCGCAAACTTTGCGCCAGAGATGGAAAAGCGGAGGGCCAAGAGGCTCGCTCGCCATCGAAAATCCTTTTCGTTCTATCGTCGTCACTTTATGCTCGTTAGACGACTGATTACAGGAAGAGAACCTGTAATGGATTATCGAGCGATTTTTTTCTATGTCGCTAGTAGCCGTCGACGTTATCCTTGTTACCATTTTTCAGTAGAAACCACACGTTTCTATGTTCACGAAAAGAATCATTCTGGTCTTTTGTTTATCTATTTTTTTTTTTTTTTTTATTGGTAAAAGCAATTTATAACCCGTCACTCGTTAAAAGCTTTCGTGCAGCTCTTTGTAACCTCTTTGTAACGATCATTTTTATTTCCATTTCAATTTGTTACACCGTAATTGGCGAAACAAAGTTTCAAATGGATTGTAACAAACGGATTAAACGAGCGTTTTTTCCTCGCTGACAGTCGGATTCATATTTGCGCGTCTACGAAATGTCATAAACACGATGTTTTACCATTGACTTGTCACTTAACGGATTGTAAAAACCACGAGGATGGGCTTTAACGATCTTCCCCGACAGCGATATGCCCCAGCGTCGCTTTATCGATCTTCCTTCGGCTTAACTCGCTTTAGATCTGACTCGGTTAAAGTGCACCGAGCGACAACCTCCTCCGACGCTTGTTCGCGCGAAATGGCCGCTGCAACGCGCGACGCTGACTTTGCGCGCGATCGCCAGTTCCTTTCACGAACGATCGTTTCATCCTTCGAGTCGACGCCTTTTACAGCGGCGAACGCAAAACGATGTAGACTTGCGAACGACAGCAACTTTAATCAGCTGGAAAACTCGCTTCTGCAGGCATCTGTCACTCGTCAACCATCACGACCATGACACACGCTTGCTCCAAATTGCTGTTTGAAAGGGTTGATCGCGAACGAATTTTTTCAGTTTTTCACGAGACCGTGTCGTGTCTGGGTGACAAAGATTTTAGTAAGACGCGAACTGCGCGCATGGAACGTGTCGTGTGTCCTAGAATATGCAAATTAAATCGGACGAAGTATAAATATCGGATAGAAAGGGGGTGGAAAATGGAGGAAAGACAAACGCGCGTGGCTTCTATATATATATATCTTCAGAAGATAGACATCGCGCGATCAAACGGAACGTAAAACGTCAGTTTTATCGAACGCGATAGATTTCTCGATGTTTGTTGCGTGATCGCATAACGGAACCTGGAACCGAGCTTCCTTATCGATGGACACACGCTACCGTCCTCGATGGTCGACTAGAAGATTAATTTTCAACGATGTTTTCCTTCTTTCGTTCGAATTAATATACATAATCCATGACTGCAGTCATCGCTTCTAAACATCGCTGTTCAAATCAATCTTTCGACCCACATACCATTTCGTCCCCATTCTAAATCTGAAACTACGATCTTGAAACTAAACCTTGTCCCAGTACCTAAACTGTCGACATTACTCGAACAAGAGCGGCCTGATATCGTCCGCAAATTGCACCTCTTTGCGCGTTCAACGATTAAAATAAATATCAAACGTCGCACATCGCTTTGTTCGCCGACTCGCGTTTCCCTGAAAGCAAACGTTCGCCGTGACAAACCACGCGATCATTAAGCGTGGTCGTTTTGAGAGCCACGGCAAACGAGTACGTATATTTCTCAACAGTTTCCGAGGCAAGGATGGAGCAGGAAAACCGTCTAAGGCTGACTTTCCGCAGCAACGAACTTCCGTTGGACGTGGAACGTTTCTATGACGATGTAGCACAGCTGGAGGAAAACAGATTTCTCGGTGGAAACACACGCCAAAGACGCAACTGGAGACGAATCGAGCGAGCCTCGGTGATTTTATTACCTCTGCAAACAACCGAGCGATTAAATCTGTTTATCCTTCGCGTGCAGCCGTAAGGTGCGACGAAGATTGCGTCGAGACAACTGTTACGTAGGATTTATGGCTGTTGAAGAAGCGGCTGAAGATCGTGTAACATAGGGTGAATTTAGAGGCGCCTGGGATGTTGCTGAAACTTGTTTTTGTGACTCGTAAATAATACCGGCGGATAAAAATAGCGGAATTCGCAAGATGAATATTTTTAGTGCGACATAAAGTGGAGAAAATTGAAGAAAATCGGGCAACGTAGAAACTGTGGGAATCGACGAATCCAAAAATTCGACGTAAAAGCAACACCTCCTGGTCTACGTCTGAACGTGACTTTACTGGATCGATAATTCCAGCCGGAGGACTCTGCTTTGGACAAGAAAGATTCGGTGTCGAGATGCGAGGTGGTAAAAGTGGTGTCTCTTAAAAGATTATTTGGAAAAGGAGGACCTTTTAGAAAAATACTCGTAAAAAAATCCCTCTGTTAAAGTAACATAGCGAGAACAAGAAAATAGGAGAATATCCTCTAGTCACGCGATTGATAAAATATTTATTTCTTCGACAACTCACGAAACATCTATTTCGATTTATTACGAAACAGCTATTTTATATCGTCGTTTAACATCAGAATGAGACGTTCGTATTGAAAAATCAATAATCAAGTCCGTGCTGGCAAGAATATTCATCCAAGCATCGTTCGTAAGAAAATTCTTCCGTGCAATTCTTCGGATAACTTGTTGCTTTAATTCATTCGAAACAGAACATTGCCGCAGCGTAAAAGTAGACGGAAGGCAACGGTTCGTTATTTATTCATTCAAGAATGATCGAGCGACCGTATGCAGACGCGGGAGTATTCGCGCTGGGAAACGGGGTCGCGTAGATCGGAATTTATTTATCCGGAAACGCAGCGAAAATTCAAGGGGGGCAGAATCTCATTCATCGAAAAGTACGGAATAAAATGCTGGCGTTCGTGCAGAAATTGCACGCGTTACATCGTGTCACGTTTGTATCGTTCATATCCAGAAGAAAAATGCAGGTACATCGATGTCAGAGACTCGATTCGTCGCTTACGAATCGCGTTTGCGTATGAAAATAACATCGATGGCCCGAGAGTTTCGAAACTACTGCGTTGGTTATTCGAAAAATTACGAAAACAGATCGATCTTATTGCCCTATGAAAGAAGGATAGAGGTGTCGGAAAGGCGAAAGAACGATCCTTATCGTGTTCACTGCAGATTCAATTTTTATTATTTACGTTATATGCGAACAAACGATTTTCGTCTGAAACGTATCTTCATATCGGGAAACTTTACGCGAGTATTACGTTTTATCGCGAACGTTTTGCTTTCGAATATTTTATGGCTTTTAATTTGCATTCCACGTTTCCAATCCGTGCCGATATCGTACATCGTAGAAATCCTATTCCGAATATCCGATTTATCTAAAAAATGGAATTCAAAGGAGAGGCAAAATTAAATTAGAAATATCAGTTTGATACGTAGATTCGTGCTGCAAAGGAAGTCGACCTTCGGGCGACTAGTTACAATGGGACTTGGTGGAAAAGGGTTAAGGGAGGAGGTCCAATTACTTACGCGCGCTCCCTAGGCAAATAGGAACGCCGTGCTGCTTGTTCCGCCATTTTCACGGACCCTCGTCGAAAGACAAACAACGAGACGAGAGGCACGAGGACAACGTTGCACGCGGGATAAAATAAAATTCCTGTCGTACGACGAGGTCGCAAGTTACTGGAAATTTCCATGGAAAACGCACTCGAAGGAAACTGCAACAAAGTTGCCACAGGCGTGATTAAAACGAAGACTTGTAATTCCCTGGTGCAAGGGTTATTAATCGTACGAAAAGAGAAGGAGACGATGTTACTAAGTGGCGAGAAACTTGTGTCGCCGTTGCGGAACAACCGCCGAAGTAATGGGATAGGGAAGTCCCAGTGTGCATTATTAAAAAGGTCAATCTCTTGGTAAAGTTCGGTCGACGGGGCAAACAATGGATACTTTACCTTTCGACGAAAGGGAAATTTCAGGGATAAAGATTGTTTCGACCATTCGCGGAGAGACGCGATCGCGAGGAAGCACGCCAACGGCAGTCGTAACGAATTTCCGTTACGATTACATAATCGACGCCGCGAAATGATCGATCCCCTGTTTCGGTTAGGATAATAGAGGTAATTTAATTGAATAAGACACTGATGTAACAAGTTATAAATCTGTTGCGACACTCAACTAACTAGCGACCAGTCAGGCACAACTGATCGGTTGGTATCGCGAGCCTTGAACGTTATTAGCGTCCAAGGTGAAGGATTATAATAAATGTAAAGAGCGAGGTTTAGTTCACCTTATTTGTTCCACTCGATACTCTGAATACAACTGTCTTTAAGTTCACTGGATTCCATTAAATACTCTGACTGAATACTGTTATATGTTGACTCTTAGAATACCGATGCAAGAGTGTCTCTTGGTGATGTTGCTGTCGTAGAGAGAAGTTCGTGGTGGGTGTGTCTCAAATCTGTTACTAACCGATCATTGGGTAAAGACGTGTAGCGGCACGCGAGCAGGATAAATGCAAATCTTATTGTTGTTTTGTTTCGGAGTATCATGACCGTTAGGTCACAGGTATTGCAAGGAGTAATGAACTCCGAGCAAAACAATGTCGCCGCTACTTTCAACCGTCAAACGCAGTCGCCGCTAACAATGTCGCCGCTACTTTCAACCGTCAAACGCAGTCGAGTTCAAACTTTCCGACTGTCCCCTGGCCAGTATAAATAAACAAGCGAAATGACGAGCGAGAGAGCAGCGATTGCAGCGTAAACATACCGACGCATCATAGTGTATACGGAGTCTCTTGACACGCGCGTATTTATTTCGATAAATTATTATACCTGGACTTGTGCTTTGTGTCAAAGTATATCTTTAATAAAGTGCTCACGACATATAGACCGTTATTAGCGATATTTGAATAAACTCATCTTCTACAGACGTATGTTTGAGGATGGGCTGGCCGCCTTCATAAAGGTTCGCGCACGGGTGACCTTACACTTGGGGAAAACCCGCGTGTCCGGTCTTCCTGAGATGTACCATAAAATAAAGAAGTTTCGTGCCTTATGAGTTTTTTCCGTGAAGTCCTAAAGTACCTTGACTGTACAATAGGCCCACTGTTTATGGTGGGTCCGCACTAGGGTAGCGTAGACCCTTGACGATCGTCCTGCCCGAGGATCGCATCTGGTTCACATAAAGCGTCGCGGTACCAGGCGGTCACTCCGAATCCCGAACAAAATCACAGTTTATTTCAACAACTTGTAAAGAAGATAGTTACGCTGGTGCGTATGTATAAGATAAGTAAGTGACTGATCTACGGATGTAAACCCGGTTAAAAGAAAGTCGACTGTTTGAAAGATGGAAAAGCAGTGAAGTTCGGTGACGATGCTGTGGCGGAGGAAAGCTAAGGATGGGTGTGTCTAGCGCACGGGACCATCGGATTTGTTGATGACGATTTTGGCTAAGAGAGCGAGGGAAATAGGCTTCGTTGTTAATTGGTTATTTGCTATGGTGGTGGGTTAGGAAGGATCCTAACCGTCCTCGAGATAAAGTTGCTGGTGGGAGGCCTCATACGTGAGAAAGGCAACTTTCCCGTGTCAACCCGTGGTGGACAATAAACTTTAGGAAACAATTCAGCGAAAGAATATCTGTTCGGTCCGAAGGACCTTGACTCCTGGAGGAAATTCCTGAGATTTATGGAGGATACTTGAGACTATCGAGGGTACGTAGTAAGGACGTAACAAACGTAGGAACAAGTTTACTACTAGTAGTACGAGTTTAGATTACTATCGCAATAGATGGACTTTGACTCTCAAGATCTTCGGTACGATATTTTTATTATCGATGTTATCGTTATCTAACAATATCGTTTAATGTTACGAAATTTAAACGCCAAAATTGACGCTTACATGCCGAAAAAGAAAATGAATTGCTCTACAGGAAAGTTGGTTGTTCCGTAAAATCTTATTGGCCAAGAAAGGATAGCAGAAAGTCGAATGTAAGAGGAGAAAGAATCTTCCGGATGCACTTTCCACGAACGACCGTCGCAAAGAACTCTCAATTACGAGATTCCCACAAAAGTTTCCTTTCTCCATTGTACAATAAAAAATCCTCCAGCATTCTGTATGTTCTATACGGAACCGCTCTCCACACACAGCCAACAGTCATCAAAATATCTAGAATGACGCCCTATGAAGAGAAAAAATTCCAATTTGCTAGAACAACGTTAAAGATTCATTAAGTGTCCTCTATTTGTCCCTGGCTTACTCCATCCACGTTTCAGGCGGTAAAGCGACCTGACGCAAAAGAACAAAATACGCGAGAGATTAAAAATAATGGCAACGGAGAACCGTGTACGCTCTATCAAGGAGAGAAAAAGGTACAAAGAATAAAGCAAGGGTAGGTTATATTATGTTCCGTCGGTCGGTGAAAGACCTTCTGGAAGGGGTGAGCGAGTTGCTGGAGAGCAAACTAATAGTAAATAGGAGAGAACGCGCACGAGAAATTATTCCGCGCGCGTTGAAAGATGCATTAACTTCCTTCTCCGCTTCCTTTCTACCCCATAGTCGTCCGTCTTTCTCGACTCTTTGGCAAAGATAAAGAGCCTGGGCTCTCTCGTCGACGAGATGGGTGGGTGTACTTTCGTGAGGAAAAGGAGCAGAATGTATAGGATGTCACCTGTTCAAAGCGGCCTACCAGCCACAGCTATTTCCGTTCTCCGTTATTTAAATAGCATTTGCATTCGCGCGTCGTGCCTCTCTGGTCACCTTCGCCCTTTGTGCCACGTGTACGCGGAAAAATATCATTTGGCCGCGTTTGCCGAAGAAATCACGAACAGCAAGCAACCTTTCGTTGCTACTTTGCCTCGCGCAGAAAAGACAAAATTTTCATCTCGACTTAATTACGAACCTCTTCTTTGAAGATACTTCTTGAATCGGGTAAAACAAGCCGAAGGCTGTTTCAAGGGAATTAATGAAAGATAAGTAGGACGAAGTTGGAAATGTCTTGTTGATTCTGAAATTATCAAGATAAGAGGATGAACGTGCGTAATGTGTTTCTGTAGGAGAAACGTTACTCAACGAAATTTCTTTGAAATGGAATCGGAGAGATTTTCGAGAGTTAAAGCAGAAGCCAGCTGCGGTGGCCTCGTTGCTCGAGAAGAAACCGCGTTTGCTGTATTTCCACGGAGAATAGCTTTCACATCGGCATAAAGGACGCTCCATTCCGCGGTGAAATACGAAGCGACGAAAGTAATCTCTTGTTCGCGGCGCGGCGTGTGCAAATAATTGAAAGAAATTGGCTGAGTCTGCGGTATCGAAACGGAGACAAAGGGCGACGACACTCTGAACTTCTTAAAACCTCGCTTT